GTATGAAGATACTTAGAGCTTTGAATCTCCACTCTCTGGAGAGACGTAGAATGAGGGGAGATATCATCGAAGTGTGTAAGTGGATGATGGGCATAAACAAATGTGATATTAACCCTTTGAGCGTCGACAGGCCCTCTCCGAGACTCGTTCTCAGGGTCGGCCAAATTTAAAAAAAAAAAAAAATTCTTATGAAAAGATAGAGAATCTTTTCCCGATCATAATGACACCAAAAGTATGAAATTTGATGGAAAACTTACGGAATTATGCTCTCGCAAATTTAGCGGTCTTGATGATGCTTACGCATCGGCGATTTTGCCCACTTTGAGCCCTATTTTTGGCCAATTCCAGTGTACTAGTTGACAAAAATCATAACTATTTCACTAGAACTCCATTTTTTCTATCGAATGAGTACAAGAAACCACCCATTTACCGATTTCAACTATCCAATAAAGTGGTCAGAATTTAGCACTTTTGCTAATTTCACACAAATTTCAAAAGATGCCAATTTCCATATAGGGTCCAGAATAAACAAGAAAGACATTCCTGGCACTAAAATAACATTTCCTCTGTTCATTAGTCACATCCCCAGGCCCCTCTTACATTTCTTTTGCTTTCCACTTTGAATTTCTATTCTCACAAAAAATAGAAGATTTACTGTTATGCAGACTACTGTATTAGTGTAGAAATGGTATAAATAACATCAGCACACTTGTAAAAGAACATTAGATTCACCAGTTGATGAGTATTGGACGCGTGGCATGATTTGTTTACTTTTGAACTTTGGCAAAAATCAAACATTTCTGCTACTTTGAGCTCAATTTCAAGGTACTTTTCATTGTGAAACCAATCAAAATCATCTCAATTTCTGTAATATTCTTCCATTCTGTAAAATAAGACCAGGAAAACTATAATACAACCATAAATACCATACGAAAATACAGTACAAAGTCACTGTTTTAAACCAAAAACACGATCAAAGTTTTTTTTTCTTATTACGCACTGTGTGCTGCAGGATTTTTTTTATACTGCGCACACTGACCACATAGACCCATTCTTTCATATGTAGGCCTACCAGCTTTCTCTTGCTAGATTGAGGGCGCTAGAATTTATGCGTACTAATATGTCAAAAACCCCGGCGCGTAAGCCGTACTAGTACGTTGGAAACCCTGAAAGGGTTAAAAACCATTTGTCTCCAGTCACTCCTATCAAATACGCTCACGCATGCTTGCTGGAAGTCCAAGCCCCTCGCACACAAAACCTCCTCTACCCCCTCCCTCCAACCTTTCCTAGGCCGACCCCTACCCCGCCTTCCCTCCACTACAGATTTATACACTCTCGAAGTCTTTCTGTTTTGTTCTATTCTCTCTATATGTCCAAGCCACCTCAACAACCCCTCCTCAGCCCTCTGGATAATAGTTTTGGTAATCCCACACCTCCTAATTTCCGAACTACGAATTCTCTGCATTATATTCACACCACACGTTGCCCTCAGACATGACATCTCCACTGCCTCCAGCCTTCTCCTCGTTGCAACATTCATCACCCATGTTTCACACCCATACAAGAGTGTTGGCACAACTATACTCTCATACATTCCCCTTTTTGCTTCCATGGACAAAGTTCTTTGTCTCCACAGACTCCTAAGTGCACCACTCACCCTTCTCCCCTCATCAATTCTGTGATTCACCTCATCCTTCATAGACCCATCTGTTGATACTGTCCACTCCTAAATATCTGAATACATTCACCTCCTCCATACTCTCTCCCTCCAATCTGATATCCAGTCTTTCGTCACCTAATCTTTTTGTTATCCTCATAACCTTACTCTTTCCTATATTCACTTTTAATTTTCTTCTTTTACATACCCTACCAAATTCATCCACCAACCTCTGCAACTTCTCTTCAGAATCTCCCAAAAGTACCGTGTCATCACCAAAGAGCAACTGTGACAACTCCCACTTTAATGTCTAGTTCTATTGCTAACTTAATATATGTTAGTGTAAACTTGTTATCTTGCATTTATATGCATTTATAAATGGAAAAAATGGAGTTCTGCTTTCCAGCTAAGTCTGCTTTCCAGCAGTAGCCTGGAACCTAACCTGCCAAATAAGTTGGGTCCTACTGTATATGTATGTATGATCATAGAGTAACCTAGAAGTGTACATAGCTTAAACACATATGTGAACACAGGAAAAACACTGTACACTAGTAAACAAAACATGTGTTATAAATGAAAAAGTTTATAGATTCTTCTTCCACCTTCTCAAACTGCTGTTGCTGATCTTCGAGCCAAATGCTTAACAGTTTTTCAAGATCTTCCATCACTTTCTCACGTCTCTTACTGATTATTGTAGACTGCACTGGCACTGAACCTTTCATGTGTTCCATAATCTTGTCCTTGTTCTTGAGAATCATGCTAATAGTGAAACAATTCATGTAGTATGAACGGGCAATATTCACCATTGCCAATAAACCCCTGGCTGCCTTCAAGAGAGAGCTGGACAGATACCTAAAGTCAGTGCCGGATCAGCCGGGCTGTGGCTCGTACGTCGGACTGCGTGCGGCCAGCAGTAACAGCCTAGTTGATCAGGCCCTGATCCATCGGGAGGCCTGGTCGTGGACCGGGCCGCGGGGGCGTTGATCCCCGGAATAACCTCCAGGTAACCTCCAGGTAACCATCTTTTCACTTTGCTCTACTCTCTTTATTATGTCCATTTTTGTTTCCAATGTGATGATCTGGCACTTCTCAGCACTACCACCTGAATCACCACTGCTTTTGTGTATAACACCAGACATATTGGAGGCATAATAATCGCAAATAACACTGAATTTGTGGAGACAGCACAAGCACATGTATGAATGATGCCAGTAGAGTAACCTACTATGTCTTGTTTACATCTCGGCACTCCCTGCACTACACTGCAAACTAAATCTTATGCCCAAACTTTCGACTTCAGGGCAAATTGTTCGTATTACTGAAAGTTCATATGTAGGGGAGTCTCTGTACTGTGTTCCAGTTCATGGGTTCCTGAATTCCTAGTTTTTTGCTCATGGGTCAAGGGGTGGAAGGGGTTGATGTGGGTTGAGGGAATGAGAAGGGGGTGGGATTTTGTGAGAGGCAGCAGTGAGAATGGTATTTGTGCTAGGGGAAATTGGGACTGTGTGCGTGTGGAGTGTGGTCCATAGTGGGAAAATTTATGGAATCAATAATTGCCGAGGCAGTTCGTAGCCACCTTGAAAAGCGTAAATTAATCAACGAATCTCAGCATGGTTTTACAAAGGGGCGTTCCTGCCTTACGAATTTATTAACTTTTTTCACTAAGGTATTTGAGGTAGATCATGGTAATGAATATGATATTGTGTATATGGACTTCAGTAAGGCTTTTGACAGGGTCCCACATCAGAGACTATTGAGGAAAATTAAGGCACATGGAATAGGAGAAATTTTTTCCTGGATAGAGGCATGGTTGACAAATAGGCAGCAGAGAGTTTGCATAAATGGGGAGAAATCAGAGTGGGGAAGCGTCACAAGCGGTGTTCCACAGGGGTCAGTGTTGGGCCCCCTGCTGTTCACAATCTACATAAACGACATAGATGAGGGCATAAAGAGTGACATCAGCAAGTTTGCCGATGACACTAAAATAGGCCGTCGAATTCATTCTGACGAGGACATTAGAGCACTCCAGGAAGATTTGAATAGACTGATGCAGTGGTCGGAGAAGTGGCAGATGCAGTTTAATATAGACAAATGCAAAGTTCTAAACATTGGACAGGACAATAACCATGCCACATATAAACTAAATAATGTAGATCTTAATGTTACGGATTGCGAAAAAGATTTAGGAGTTCTGGTTAGCAGAAATCTGAAACCAAGACAACAGTGCATAAGTGTTCGCAATAAAGCTAATAGAATCCTCGGCTTCATATCAAGAAGCATAAATAATAGGAGTCCTCAGGTTGTTCTTCAACTCTATACATCCTTGGTTAGGCCTCATTTAGATTATGCTGCACAGTTTTGGTCACCGTATTACAGAATGGACATAAATGCTCTGGAAAATGTACAAAGGAGGATGACAAAGTTGATCCCATGTATCAGAAACCTTCCCTATGAGGATAGACTAAGGGCCCTGAATCTGCACTCTCTAGAAAGACGTAGAATTAGGGGGGATATGATTGAGGTATATAAATGGAAGACAGGAATAAATAAAGGGGATGTAAATAGTGTGCTGAAAATATCTAGCCTAGACAGGACTCGCAGCAATGGTTTTAAGTTGGAAAAATTCAGATTCAGGAAGGATATAGGAAAGTACTGGTTTGGTAATAGAGTTGTGGATGAGTGGAACAAACTCCCAAGTACAGTTATAGAGGCCAGAACATTGTGTAGCTTTAAAAATACGTTGGATAAATACATGAGTGGATGTGGGTGGGTGTGAGTTGGACCTGATAGCTTGTGCTACCAGGTCGGTTGCTGTGTTCCTCCCTTAAGTCAATGTGACCTGACCTGACTAGGTTTGGTGCATTGGATTAAGCCAGTAGGAGACTTGGACCTGCCTCGCATGGGCCAGTAGGCCTGATGCAGTGTTCCTTCATTCTTATGTTCTTATGTTGGGTTATTGTGCCTGCCAACCATTGTGCAAGTATGATATCTCCAATTTTTTGTCACAAATCAAAACTAAATTCTTTATGAAGACAAATTGTAACTCAAAATTATTGTAACTCAAGGGACTACTGTAGTTTAATTACACATCATAAAATTGTAACAAAAGGATAAGAAAAAAATAAACAGTAGTCCCAATTGTAAACAGAAACAAAAAATGATACTGGGAAGTATTTCTTCACAAACAGTAGTAGAAAATTTGAAAGGAATGCAAAAGATGTGTGTTTCAACCACTGAAAAGTTTAAAAACTCAAAACAAAAACTCTGAAGCCACAACACCAAAACTGTAGCCACATTCCTGAAGTTATATACAGGTAATCATGGCATGTAAAGCTTTACTTACTTCTTTAGTAATTGCGTTTTTCTTCTCTGGGCGATTAAGTGTGATAGTACGGAGGCCATTCTCACAGGTTATCAGGAGGTTTTTATATTTTTGACCAGAGTCTGTCTGAGCTGCTGCAGTCTTCTCCTGCAAATACAGTATATAAAGTATGTTGTACTTGTCTCATTCTACCAAAGCAAACAATAACCTTTTATTCAAGACAAGCTTCATGCTTGCACTACAGCATTACTCTTCGTGCCATGTATCAAGAGTAAGACGAGAAGAAAGAATATATAACAAACATTGCCAAAAAATAATTGTTTTATTTTTTAACACATTGATCATCTCCCACCAAGGTAGGATAACCTAAAAAGGAGGAAAACACTTTCATTATCATTCATTCAGCCACTGTCTTGGGTAAATGAGTAAAACATGTGCAACACTTAGGTATCTATATTGTTGAAACATTTTGCCTACACAGCAGGCTTCTTCAGTCAAACACAGGAGGAAATTATATTAATATGGAAGCAGCCAAAGTAGTAGCAATGTAAATATGTGATCAGGCCATCAACCTTGAAGCTGTAGTAGTTTGTGAGGTGGTCGGTCCCTCAGCCTGGAGAAGAACTGACCACTTCAAAAACACTACTTCGATATTGACAGACTGATCACATAATCTTTACTGCACCACCACCTACTGTGCAAGTGAAATGTTTCAACAATATAGATACCCAGCTGTTGCACATGTGTCTTACTCATGTACCTGTCTGTATTGTATAACATTTTCATAATCACTCCCTTGCCAGAAATGTGCTGACATCAGTTTAGATGACCCTTCAAACTGCAACATCATCCCAATCTCTCCTTCACAGTGAAGGCACTCTACTTCCCACCTCTGCGACTCAAGTCCAGCTAACAATTGCCCTGAATCCCTTCATAAAAGTTACTTTGTCCACATTCCAACAACATGTCCATTAAAACCATTTGTCTCCGCTTACTCCTATCCAAGATGCTCACACAAGCCTATTGGATATCTCAGCCCCTAGCATTCCAAGCTTCCTTTACCCCCCCCCCCCACCTTCAACCTTTCCTAGAATGTCCCCTACCCCTCCACCCCAGATTTTTATACCCATCCTAAACTTCCTAATTTTTTCCATCCTTTCTAAGTGCCTAAACCACCTCGGCAAGCCCTTCTCAACCCACTGAATGCTTTTGTAACTGCACACCTCCTGATCTCCAAGCTCTACATTCTCTACAATACATTCACACCACACACTGCACTCAAACACATCTTCAATTCCTCCAGCCTCCTCCTCACAGTAAACAAACAACAAACAAACAAAACAAAACTTTCTTTGCTAAGGTTACAATGTATGTTTACATTTTATAATTAGATTGGAATAAAGAAAACCACTATCAGACTTAACCTAATACTTATAGTCTACTTAAGTCTAGACAGGTGAAGAGTGATAGAATACAAATAACAAAAAAAAGGCACAATACCGTGACTGGAACAATACACAAATAACCCGCACATACAAGAGAGGAGCTTACGATGACGTTTCAGTCCGGCTTGGACCATTTACAAATTGTGACTTTGTAAATGGTCCAGGTCGGACTGAAACTTCGTCGTAAGCTCCTCTCTTCTATGTGTGGGTTATTAGAATACAAATATTCAGTATTTCACTCTATTATTAATATGAGGCAGTACAATTAGTGGTACAAACATACATTTTTAATGACTTAATAGTTAAGGGCAATAAAATATTTGGGAGAGTTGCTTTGAATTTGGTTAGGGTTTAGCATAACGTGGGTTTGTTTGTTATTGCGAGATGAGATGATTTTTGAGTATGGCCCTAAACTGATTTGTGGGTAGGGAACCTTTTGCTGTTTCAGGCAAAGAGTTCCAGATCTTTGGGCCCTTTATGTGCATTGCATTTTTGCATAGTGCGAGCCAGACCCAAGGAATGTCAAAAAGTGTTTTGTGCCTCATGTTATGCCTGTGTGTTCTGTTAAGAACATAAGAAAGAAGGAACACTGCAACAGGCCTACTGGCCTATGCGAGGCAGCTCCAATTCTCCCACCGGCTTAAGCTAATGCCTTAACCTAGTGAGGTCAGACACATCACTTAAGGGAGGGGCAGTGCATCCAACCTAGTAGCACAAGCTAGGTCCAACTCACACCCACCCACACCCACTCAGGGTATTTATCCAACCTATTTTTAAAACTACACAACATCTTAGCGTATATGACGGTACCCGGGAGTTTGTTCCACTCATCCACAACTCTATTACCAAACCAGTGCTTTTCTATATCCTTCCTGAATCTGAATTTTTCCAATTTAAAGCCATTGTTGTGAGTCCTGTCTATGTTAGATATTTTTAGCACGCTATTTACATCCCGAATCTCCAGGGTCGAAAATTTTTTGGAAAAAAAAAAAATTATTTATTTCTTATGAAATGATAGAGAATCTCTTCCCGGTCATAATGACACCAAAAGTATGAAATTTGATGGAAAACTTACGGAATTATGCTTTTGCGAAGTTAGCGGTCTCGACGATGTTTACGCATCGGCAATTTCAGCCACATTGAGTCCTGTTTTCGGCCAATTCCAGTGTACTAGTCAACAAATATCATAACTATTTCACTAGAACTCCATTTTTTCTATTGAATGAGTACAAGAACCCACCCATTTACCGATTTCAACTATCCAATAAAGTGGTCAGAAATTGGAAATTTTGCCAATTTCAGACAAATTTCAAAAGATGCCAATTTCCAAATAGGGTCCAGAATAAACAAAGGCAGACATTCCTGGCACTAAAATAACATTTTCTCTGTGCATTAGTCACGTCCCCAGGCCCCTCTTACATTTCTTTTGCTTTCCACTTTGAATTTTTATTCTCACAAAAAATAGAAGATTTATTGTTATGCAGACTACTGCATTAGTGTAGAAATGGTATAAATAATATCAGCGCACTTGTGAAAGAATATTAGACTCGCCAATTGATGTGTATTGGATGAATGGCACGATTTGTTTACTTTTGAACTTTGGCAAAAATCGAACATTTCTGCTACTTTTGAACTCAATTTCAAGGTACTTTTCATTGTGAAACCAATAAAAATCATCTCAATTTCTGTAATATGTCTTCCATTCTATAAAATGAGACCAGGAAAACTAAAATACATGTACAGGTCCTCCATCACAAATCCGGCATCAATGGGACCTGTAGTGTGCCGGATTACTGAGTTTGCCGGATTACAGAGTGGTTAGGTTAGAATACACTTAATAAAATTAACCAACTTGACTTATACAAAGTTCATTGAACATGGGCAAAAATCGAACATCTCTGCTACTTTGAGCTCAATTTCAAGGTACTTTTTGTAATGAAAGCAATCAAAATCATGTCTATTTCTATAATATATCTTCCATTCTATCAAATGAGTCCAAAAAAATGAGAATACAACCATAAAAAACATACGAAAATATACGTTAAGAAGCATCTTTCCATCATACATTGCCCAAGTTTCAATGAGATAGCCCAACAAACAACCGAGAAAAAATTTTTTACCAAAAATCATATATGGCAAGCCCAAGCCAGGTACTGGAAATAAGTCACTTTGTCTGACTTTTCTGGGTTATCCTAGGTTCTCTATACATACACTGCTATGTATGATAATCTATGTAACTGTATTTGTGTATACCTGAATAAACTTATTTACTTCTAGTCTGTCAACCGAGTACAAGAAACCGCCCATTCACTTATTTCAACTACCCAATAAAGTGGTCAGAAATTGGCAATTTGGCTGATTTCACACAAATTTCAACAGATGCCAATTTCAAAATAGGATCCAGAATAAACAATGTTATTTTTTAAACACATTTCATAACAGAATACTCCATTCTATTGAATGCACAGAAACACAGTAAAGCACTATATGACCTGTCTTTGCAATACTCATTTGTGCTAAATTGTTATCTATTTACAGTAATGTTTTTACCACTGAATATATTATTACTTAGTTAATCTTAAGTTAATTTTAAGCCTGCCCATAATGCTCTGCATACAAGGGGCTTTGGCATGTTGCGCTTTAATAACTGTATTCCTTTGTACTTCTCTGTATCATGTTCAAATTAATTAATTAATAATTAATTAATTAATTGTGATAGGCAAATAAGCTGTAGTGTTCATATTAGCGTAATAAAGCATATTCTCCTGCTTCATGAGACTGAGCTCATGGCAACCGACAGTGGCTTCAAAGTCACCTTATCTTTAACCCTTTGACTGTCGCAACCCCCAATCCTGAGGTGTCTCCTGGTGTCGCAAAATTTAAAAAAAAAAAAATTATTTTTTCTTATGAAATGATAGAGAATCTTTTCCCGATTGTAATGACACCAAAAAAAAAAACGAAATTTGATGGAAAACTGACGGAATTATGCTCTCGCGAAGTTAGCGACCTCGGCGCTGTTTACAAATTGGCGATTTCGCCCACTTTGAGCCCTATTTTCGGCTAATTCCATTGTTCCAGTCGCCCAAACTCATAGCTATTTCTTTAGAACTCCATTTTTTCTATTGATTGAGTACAAGAAAACTGCCCATTTTACCGATTTCAACTACCTAATAATGTGGTCAGAAATTTGCAATTTGGCCAATTTCACGAAAACTAAAAAATATGACTATTTCAAAATAAGGTTCAGAATAAACAATGCAGACATTCCTGGCTCTAAAATATCATTTTCTTTGCTCATCAGTCATGTCTCCAGGCCCCTCTGATATTACTCTTGCTTTCTATTTTGAATTTTTATTCAAACAAAAAATAGAAGACTTACTATTATGCAGACTACTGCAATACTGTAATAATTGTATAAATAACATCAACCCATTCATGACTGCATATTAGAATGGCTAGTTGGACATTTATTGGACAATGGCATCATTTGTTTACTTTTGAACATTGGCAAAAATCAAACATTTCCCCTACTTTGAGCTCCATTTCTAGGTTCTCTTTATAGTAAAATCAATCAAAATCACCTCTATTTCTATAATATGTTTTCCATTCTATCAAATGTGACCAAGAAAACGAGAATACAACCATAAATACTATACGAAAATAGACCACAAAGTCGGCATTTTAATTAAAAAAATCGGTCGGAGTTTTTTTTTCTCATTATGCACTGCGTGCTCCAGGATTAGTTTTATATGGTGCACACTGATCACATAGACCCATTCTCTCACATGTGGGCCTACCAGCTTTCTCCTGCTTGATTTGAAGCCGCTAGAATTTATGAGTATATATACGTCAAACACAGTACCTCGTAAGACGTATATATACGGCCGCGACAGTCAAAGGGTTAATGGATAATGTACTGTGTAGGGGCTGTACATAATGAGAAGCATTTCTTTTATTCATTGGAACCATGGCTAGGGCTAAAAGTAAGCAGGTTAAAACAATAAATGGGGAAAAAGAAATTGGAATGATATGCAGCAAGTAGCACTACCGAACAGTACCAGCAGGTTTTTGTGGCGACCCTGGAAATTTGAAATTATGCTAGCCAAAATTAGTGCTGAATAACTGAAGGAACCAAATAACTGACTGCCGGATTTGTGATGGCGGACCTGTACAACCATAAATACCATACAAAAATACACTGCAAAGTCACTGTTTTAACCCTTTCAGGGTCCAAGGCCCAAATCTGGAGTCACGCACCAGTGTCCAAGAATTTTCAAAAAAAAAAATTATTTTTTCTTATGAAATCGTAGAGAATCTTTTTGTGAAGGTAATAAAACAAAAAGTACGAAATTTGGTGGAAAATTGACGAAATTATGCTCTCGCGAATTTTGGTGTGTCAGCGATATTTACGAATCGGCGATTTTGCCGACTTTGACTCCCATTTTAGGCCAATTACATTATTCCAATCAACCAAATTCTTAGCTATTTCACGAGTATTACTTCCATTCTATCGATTGAGCACAAGAAATCGCCAAGTCAACTGTTTCAACTACAAAATAAAGTGATCGGAAATTGTTAATTTGGCCAATTTAACACAAAGTTCAAAATATTCCAATTTCAAAATAGGGTCCCGAATAAACAATGTAGGCATTCCTGGCACTAAACTAACATTTCCTCTGTTCATTAGTTATGTTTTGAGGCTTCACAAATAAATTCCATTTTGATTTTTTATTCACATAATGAATTTTTATTCACACCAAAAAATAGAAGATTTACTGTTATGCAATACTGTAATAATTGTATAAATATCATCACCATATTTGTGAATGTATATTAGACCCACCAGCTGACGTGTATTAGACGTGTGAGGTCGTTTGTTTCCTCTTGAATATTGGCAAAAATTTAACATTTCCGCTACTTTGAGCTCAGTTTCAAGCCATTTCCAGTGCTAAAACCAATCAAAATCATCTCTATTTCTGTAATATGTCTTCCATTCTATCAAATGAGACCAAGAAATCGCAAATACAACTATAAAAAACATACGAAAAAACACTGCAAAGTTGCTGTTTCAATCGAAAAATCATGATTTCAGTTTTTTTCTCTCATTATACACAGTGTGCTGCAGGATCTGTTTTATGTGGTGCACACATACCACATAGATGTATTCTCTCATATCTAGGCCCAAATGTACCACTCACAGTTTATCAGAGTGAGCTGAGCTCATGGCATAGATCTACGGTTTGGACACTCACCGTAAAGCCGTAGATATACGGGACGGACCCTGAAAGGGTTAAACCAAAAACATGGTCAGTTTTTTTTATCATTATGCACTGTGTGCTGCAGGATTTTTTTATTACTGTGCACACTGACTATATAGACCCATTCTTTCATATGTAGGCCTACCAGCTTTCTCTCGCTAGATCTGAAGGCGCTAGAATTTACGCATACTAGTACGTCAATAACCCTGGTGCGTAAGATATACATGTACTAGTACGCTGGAAACCCTGAAAGGGTTAAACTGCATCTGCCACTTCTCCGACCACTGAACAAGTCTATTCAAATCATCCTGGAGTGCTATAATGTCCTCGTTAGAATGAATTGGATGGCCTATTTTCATGTCATCAGCAAATTTGCTTATGTTGCTATTTATTCCCTCATCTATGTCATTTATGTAGATTATGAACAACAAGGGGCCCAACACTGACCCCTGTGGAACAAAGCCTGTGATGTTCCCCCATTCTGATTTCTCCTCATTTATGCAAACTCTCTGCTGCCTATTCGTGAACCATGCCTCAACCCAGGAAAAAATTTCTCCTCCTATTCCGTGTGCCCTAAGTTTCCTCAATAGCCTCCGATGTGGAACTCTATCAAAAGCCTTACTGAAGTCCATATACACAATATCATATTCAATACCATGATCTACCTCCTCAAATACCTTAGTGAAGAAAGTTAGTAAATTCTTAAGACAGGAAAGCCCCTTTGTAAAACCGTGCCAAGATTCATTAATCAATTTATGCCTTTCGAGATGGCTACGAATTGCTTCGGCAATTATCAATTCCATAAATTTTCCCACTATGTGGTGTGAATATAATGCAGACAATTCGTAGTTTGGAAGTTAGGAGGAGGTGCGGGATTACCAAAACTGTCGTCCAGAGGGCTGAGGAAGGGTTGTTGAGGTGGTTCGGACATGTAGAGAGAATGGATCAAAACAGAATGACTTCAAAAGTGTATCAGTCTGTAGTGGAAGGAAGGCGGGGTAGGGGTCGGCCTAGGAAAAGTTGGAGGGTGGGGGTAAAGGAGGTTTTGGACTTCCAGCAGGCATGCATGAGCATGTTTGATAGGAGTGAATGGAGACAAATGGTTTTTAATACTTGACGTGCTGTTGGAGTGTGAGCAAAGTAACATTTATGAAGGGATTCAGGGAAACCGGCAGGCTGGACTTGAGTCCTGGAGATGGGAAGTACAGTGCCTGCACTCTGAAGGAGGGGTGTTAATCTTGCAGTTTAAAAACTGTAGTGTAAAGCACCCTTCTGGCAAGACAGTGATGGAGTGAATGATGGTGAAAGTTTTTCTTTTTCGGGCCACCCTGCCTTGGTGGGAATCGACCAGTGTGTTAATAAAAAAAAAAATAAAAAAAATGGAGGTAAGGCTTATTGGTCTATAGCTCAAAGCTAAGGACTTGTCACCTGCCTTGTAAATAGGTATTACATTTGCCATTTTCCACTTGTCAGCCACTATGCCAGTTTGTAGTGATATACTGAAAAGATTAGCCAAAGGTATGCTAAGGTCCTCTTTACATTCCTTTAACACCCTTGCAAACAGTTCATCAGGGCCAGGGGATTTGTTAGCTTTTAATTTCTCTATTTGTCTGAGGACCATGTCACTAGTGTCCACTAGAGTGTCCTCTGATCCCGTAAAGCTCTAGTTTTAGGTGCAAGATATTGTGATCTACTGTATCAAATGCTTTCCGTAGGTCTATGAAGAGCCCCAGAGGATATTCATTTTTTACGTATATTAAGTAAGTTCATGCTCTTGAAGAGAGGTGGAGCATGTTGTCTGGCACTGGAGTTTGTGATCATTCGCATTGCAGCTTTTTGTTGGGTTATTAACCCGTAAACGGTCCAAACGTATATATACGTTTTTTCAACATTTGAAAGTATGCAAAAAAGGTAGATGATCTTTTTGTTTTTTTACATTTGAAAATGTGTAAAAAACTTTGATCTACTTTTTTTTTGCTATATTTGAAAATCTGTAAAAAAAACGTAGATCTACTTTTGTAGCACTACACATGTGAACGTAGATCTGCTTGGACCATTTACTGGTTAAAGGTTTAAGGTGACTGGCCATGGTAGATCCCCAGGCACAATACCATAGGTGAGGTAAGGATATATTAGGGTGTGATACAAGGTAAGGAGGGCCCTTTGGGGTACATAGTATTGTATCTTGGAAAGGATACCTACTGTTTTGGAAACTTTCTTAGTTATATGCTGGATGTGGGTCTGAAATTTAAGATTACAGTCAAGGTGGAGATCTAGAAATTTGCCCTCAGTGAGTCTTGTAATGGTCAAACCATTTACTGATATGTTAAGCTCGATATTTGATGCTCTGTTTCCAAAAAGCATGAAGTAGGTTTTGTCTATATTGAGAGTAAGTTTGTTGGTCGTCATCCAGTTTGATATTTTGAGAAGCTCGCTGTTTACAATGTTACTAAGTATAGCTGGGTTTGGGTGGGAGAAAACACAAGTGGTGTTTTCTGCGAATAGAACTGGTTTTACGAGTCATGATGCATTTGGGAGGTAATTGATGTAAATAAAAAAGAGTAAAGGACCGAGGACCTAGGACACTTCCCTGTGGCACTCCAACAACTACAGGCTGAGTATTGCAAGTCACACCATTTGCATATAGTATACAACTTTATAGTGACCTAGAGCGAAATACACATACTTCTTACACCATGTAAATCACACATCCCTGTCTAAGGCAGACTTTTACAGACAAAAGACACCAGCAATCCTACCATCATGTAAAACAATTACAGGCTCTCGTTTTACACTCACTTGGCAGGACAGTAGTACCTCCCTGGGTGGTTCCTGTCTACCAACCTACTACCTATAAAAAATTATATAAAATAATATGAAAATGAGAAAAAATGGTATATCAGCAACGCTTCTGCAAGCGGCAGGACTCGATGTTGCTGTCAGGTGAGCATTAAGTGCCAACTTTGTAGCCTCATATCTCAGTAAGTACTGACCCTATTTTTTTATTTTAATCCTTTAGAAAAATTTTCTCTTTGTTTCAATGTAAAAAAAAGGTATTTTTTTTATTTTTCAAAATATTCGTGGCACTGGGTGAGAGAACGTATATATATGTTTGGACCATTTAGGGGTTAATTAAAGACCTGGAAAGTCGGGTCCTACCATATCATTTATCTTGCACGTCCAAAAGGTGTGTAACATTTCAGTTGACAATTCAGCAAGTGGCAATTAATTATGCCTGACTAATAACATAACATTAATGACAATGAAAGGCCACATCAATGGCTATTATTATGAAGTGCTTAAAAAAATAATGCAGTAAAGTAAATACTGCATTTTACCCTAAATCTACCTTATTATTCAACATAATTTTTACGTTATATGAACTGAAGCAAAATGCCTAACAATTTAGTTAATTTTCATACAAATTTTAGTACAGTACCTCTCCACCTGCAAGTGAATTGACTAGGTCAATGTAGGCTTTCTGAGCATCCTCTTGGCTCATGCTGCCTAGAGCATTCCAAGCATCCCACTTAGCACGCCCAACAAAGTCCACCATCCCTGGTCTCTTGGTTGTAACAGTACCAGAGGTAGACTGCTTGAACAGGGCATAAATTTTCAATTTCACATCATTATCTAAAAAGAGAACCACTGTTTAAAAAATGATGAACCTACAAGTCCTTAATTTAGGGTTAGGCAACACAAAACAGCTGAGAAGAAATGTTTCATAGGCTCCAATATTAAAAGAAGTTTAACCAGGTAATTCATAAAACATTTTGTTTTGTTACATGTTTATGTATAAAAAAGCTTCTCGTGTACTGTCACCAATTATTGCAACTCTCTTTAACAAATCCATTGAATCCTCCACCTTCCCATCAATTCTTAAAATAGCAAGGGTCACCCTGATCCACAAAGGAGGTGATGCAACTGATCTGAACTACTACAGGCCCACATCTAACTTACCCATTCTTTCTAAAATCTTTGAAAAATTAATCCATAAACAAGTCTATTCCTACTTAGTCTCCCTCAACATACTCAACCCCAGTCAGTTTGGATTCAGGCCGAAAAAAAGCACGAACTATGCTATAATACACATGCTAGAACTAATATATATGGCACTCGAAAAAAAAAAACTCTACATGGGAATCTTCATCAATTTACGAAAAGCTTTTGATACAGTTGATCATGACTTATTGCACCTAAAGTTAACTCATTATGGAATAAGCGGGCACTCTCTCAACTGCCTAAAGTCATGCCTTAGCAACAGAAATCAATATGTATGCACAAATGGAGCTAACTCTACCACACAACCAGTCACTGTTGATGTCCCACAGGGTAGTGTCCTTGGCCCACTTCTCTTTCTCATTTACATCGGTGATCTCCCAAACGCACCTGAACTCCTCAAACCCACATTATTTGAAGATGACACTAGTTACATCTTCTCTCACCCAAATCCACTCATACTAGCTAATACTGTAAATCCTGAATTACAGAAAATATCTACCTGGATGATGAACAACAGGCTTACTCACAATATAGACAAAACCTACTTCATGCTATTTGGAAAAAGGGCTTCAAATGTATGGCTTAACATAATGATAAATGGATCACCCATTTCTAGACTCATGGAGGGTAAATTTCTAGGACTCCACCTTGACAGCAGTCTCAAGTTCCAGACACACATACAGCAAATTTCTAAGAAAGTCTCTACGACAGTGGGCATTCTATCAAAGATACGGTACTATGTACCGCAATCAGCTCTCCTTGCTCTTTACCACTCACTCATTTACCCCTATCTCACCTATGGAGTATGTGCATGGGGCTCAACTACAGTAGCTCACCTCAGACCCTTAATAACCCAACAAAAAACAGTAGTCCAATTAATAACAAATTCCAACTCGAGACAACATACTCTGCCACTATTCAAGAGTCTGAATTTACTCAATATACAAAACACCCACACTTTCTATTGTGCCTACTACATACATAGAACACTGCATTCTAATATAAACCCTCCTCTTAAACTTTGCCTTGACAGCTGCAACAGAACACACAACCATAATACAAGGCACAGAACACTCTTTGATATCCCTTGTGTTTGTCTCTCCCTATGCAAAAACAGTATGCACATAAAGGGCCCTAAGTTTTGGAATTCACTGCCAGAGAACACTAAAGGACCCCTGTTTGCAAATCAGTTCTCAAGACTCTTAGAAATCACCTACTCACCCAAAACTAAACAGCTTCCAAGCTGCTCTCAAATTCACCTCCACTACCACATACTGTGCTAAGGATCACAGTGTCACTCACCTAAATCTCAAAACTTCAAAAATAGATGCTCAAAGTTCATTACATTACTTAATACAGGTCTCCCTCAACATTCGCGTTTTCCACTTTCGAGGGCTTCAAAGATTTGCAAATTCCCAACCACCCAATCACATTTAAAATATGTCAATACATATCTTAGGAATTGTGGCAGTGGCAGTTTGTTTGGAGATAGGACAAGATAGTCCTTCATTATGACACTAATATCAACTTTACGGCTTATTTGTCTATCACAATTCATCTAATATGATATAATAAACAATATTAATAACATAGAAACATGACATATACAGTGGACCCCCGACTTAATCGAATTAATTTTCCCCATAAGAAATAATGGAAATCAAATTAATCTGTTCAAGACACCCAAAAGTATGAAAAAAAAAAAAATTTACCACATGAAATATATGTTTTCATACACACAAACAGAAGGATACATGCACAATATATATCGTGTAATTAAGAATAAATGACACTTACCTTTATTGAAGATGTGGTGATGAGTGATGGGATGGGAGGAGGGGAGATGATGGAGGTGTATTATTTTTTGGAAAGGAAATTCCCTTCCATAAGGACTTTAGGTAGCAAGTCCTTTTCCGGGGTTACTTTCCCTCTTCTTTTAATGCCACTGGGAACAACTTGAGAGTCACTGGACCTCTGTCACACCAAAAATCTGTCCATAGAGCTCTGTACTTCACGTTCCTTTAAGATTTTTATAAAGTGGTTCACAACATTGTCATTGTAAAAGTCACCAGCACAGCTTGCAATAGATGTGTCAGGGTGATTTTCTTCCACAAAGGTTTGCACCCTTGTTCACACTGTACACATTTCCTTAATCGTTGAAGAAGGTAACTTCCTCGATTTCTCTCTCCCCTCCTCTGAAACAATTTCCTCAGTTGTCTCTAGCTGTTGCAGATGCTCTTCCAGCTCATCAGTGGTTAGTTCTCCATCGTTGTCCTGCACCAACTCTTCCACATCCTCGCCACTAACCTCCAACCCCAAGGACTTCCCCAATGCCACAACAGATTCCACAACTGGCATAGGCTCCTCAGGGTTAGCCCCAAACCCTTCAAAATCCCTCTTCTACACATTCTGGCCAAAATTTCCTCCAAGCAGAGTTCAAGGTCCTCTTAGTCACTCCCTCCCAAGCCTTACAAGGTTTATGCAATTGAGGATACTAAAGTGATCTTTCCAAAACTCTCTTAGGGTCAATCGAGTGTCTGAGGTCACTTCAGAGCACTTTTGAAACACTGCTTTGGTGTACAGTTTTTTGAAATTTGAAATTATCTCCTGGTCCATGGGCTGGAGGAGAGGAGTGGTATTAGGAGGCAAAAACTCAACTTTTATGAAGCTCAACTTCCCGAAATTCGCTCTGCCAAGTCTGAAGGATGACCAGGAGCACTAATACCAGGAGGTGCTTAAGCTCCAATTTATTTTCCAGGAGGTAATTTTTCACAGTGGGGCCAAACACATGGTAAAACCAGTCATAGAAAATGTCCCTAGTGACCCATGCCTTACTGTTTGCCCTCCACATCACACAAAAGTTAGCCTTGATGACATTGTTTTTCCTGAAAACTCTGGGAGTTTCAGAGTGATACACAAGTAGAGGCTTCACTCTGCAATCCCCACTAGCATTACTACACAACATTAAAGTAACCCTGTCCTTCATAGGCTTGTGTCCTGGGAGTGCTTTTTCCTCCTGTGTAATGTAGGTCCTGTTTGGCATTTTCTTCCAAAACAGGCCTGTTGTGTCACAATTAAACACTTGTTGGGGTTGCAGTCTTTCAGCCTCTATGTACCCTTTGAATTCCTGCACATATTTTTCAGCCGCTTTTTGGTCCAAACTGGCAGCCTCACCGTGCCTTATCACACTGTGTATGCCACTACAATTCTTAAATCTCTCAAGCCAACCAACCTTTGCTGGCCTTAAATTCACTCACATCACTAGTTGCAGGCATTTTTTTAATTAAATCATCATGCAACTGCCTTGCCTTTTCACATATGATTGCTCGAGAGATAGTATCTCCTGATGTCTGTTTTTCGTTTATCCACACCAACAACAGTCTCTCAACATCTTCGAGTACTTGCGATCTGTGTTTTGTAAAGATACTTGCACCTTTCTCAACAACAGCTTCCTTGATTGCTTTTTTGTTGGCTAGGATGGTAGCGATGGTTGACCGGGGTTTGTTGTACAACCTGGCCAGCTCAGAGGCATGCACTCCACTTTCAAACTTAATAATTATCTCCTTCATTTCAATTGTAATTTGTAATTTTCACCCTTTTTACCACAGAGTTGGCACTAGAAGCTTTCTTTGGGCCCATGGTGGCTTATTTAGCAATTACAAGCACTAAAAACACTGGAATAATACAAAATGTTCCAAATGTATGAGTGGAAGTGACTGCACTGGCTTGTAAACATTGGCACACTAACTGAAGGCAGGGCAGCTGAGGAGCGCTCAAGCCAGACGGACGCGTGGACGCATACGGGACGAATGATGTAAGTCGAGTTTTTCAATGTAGGTCGGGGTCAAATTCTTACGCTGACAAGCGTCCAAAGTTGGTTTTATCGTAGGCTGAGGCCATTGTAAGTTGGGGGACCACTGTACTCTAGAATGAATAAAATACGTCATTAAGCATGTCACGAGTGTTGCTGTGTTGTTGTTGTTGGGTGTATATGGGCCACTGAGACATAAGCCGTACATAGTGGTGGTGGAGGTGACAACAGAGGCAGTAGAAACTAGAAACGGCGATGTTGTCAGTCGCCCTGTATAATTCCAACAACATTGGAGGAGTTAGGTTCATGCTGTCCTTTTTCTATCGATTAATTGTTTAACTTACTTGCTACACTCTTAATGCTACACTTTATCGCTGGCTGGCGCTATAGCATTTATCGACTCATGCTGCTTTAGTATCGTACATGTCGTAGAATCACTGAATCACTGAAGAAGGCAAATTCTCCCCTTTCTCTTCCTCCTCCACTTTGGTATTCTGCTACGAGTTCTTTCTTGAATTCTATAGTCTTTCTCACCTTCTTTACCAAAGGGCTGGCACTAGTACAATACTTTACAATTTTTCATGTGTTTTATGATTGTTCATGGTTCAATAGGTTAAGGAAGCAGTATTGTATATTTCCCTACAATATATTGGAGCACCAAACATTCGTGATTTTTCAACATTCGCAAGGTTCTTGATCCCCTAACCCTCGCGAATGTTGAGGGAGACCTGTACTACATTGTAAAAAATCAATACCTGCACAAAACTGTTCTGACTTATACTCAATTGTAACAATCTCATATTGTAAACTACGTTCAAAA